TGCGGGCCCGGCTCCCCGCCGCGGCCCTCCCCGAGGGCGGCCCCGGCCTGACCCCGCCGGAGACCCGCGTTCTGCGGCCCCGGGGCCCCGGGATCCGGCTTCAGCCCACGCCGCCGGCCCCGGTTCGCGGCCCCCGACCCCGGCCTTTCCGCGGGCTTCGGCGCGAAGCTCGCAACTCGCGGGTCTCGCCAGGACCCCGCGACCGCCCCCGCCCCAGGTTCTCGGCCCGGCTCAGCCTTCCCGGCCCGGCTCAGCCTCCCCGGCCCCGCCCGCGGCTCCGGGTTCGCGACTCGGCCCCCCGGCCTGGCCCAGGCTCCGGCTCCAGACACCCCAGGCTCGCGGCTCGCGGCTCGCGGCCCCTGCCCCAGCTCAGGCGCCGCTCCCCACCCGCGGCACTCGGCTCCCAGCCCCGGCCCGGCCCCGGGGGCAGCGACCCCGCTCCATTCGCGGCCCCGACCTCCGCGGCTCCTGCCGGAGACTTGCGGTGATCAGCGGCGGCACCTCGGGCCTTTGGGCACGGCGGCGGCAGGAGCGGGGCTGGACCCCGGCCGTCCCCCACACTCCCTGGGCACCGCCGGGGCTCCCTCCCCCGGGCGGGACGCGGCAAAGGGGTCGATGGAGATGCAGCCCCCCGGGCGCGGGCAACCCGGCCGCAAAGTGTGCGCCCCGCGCTGGGCAGCGTCCCGCGTGGCTGCAGGGGTTCCGGGCGGGCTGGGGTCCCGGGCTCCGGGTGGCCTGCGGGGGTCCCGGGCGGGCTGGGCTCCCCGGGCGCTCCAGGCTCGGGCGAGCTGGGCATCTGGGCGGGTGGGGGGTCCCGTGCGGGGGGTCCCGGCGGGCTGCGGGAGGAGGCGGGAGGCACCGACCCCGCGAGGAGCTGGTCGACCCGCGCAGCGCGCAGCCCCCACCCGCCCCGGCGAGCGCGCGGCGCGCCCCACCATAAACCTGCTCTCACAATCCCCGGGCGTCGGGCGCCGCGCGCACAGCCCGCCCGCCCGGCCCGGCCCGCCCGCGCGCCCCGGCCTCCTGGAACCGCGCGCCGGGCGCCGCCGCCAAATCCGCCCCCTTCGCGGGTGGGTGGGCGGGCGTGCGGCAGGCGCCGTCTACGCGGCAGTCAGGGCCGCGCGGCTCTGGCGGGTCCGGGCGGCCGCTCTCCCGGGGAGAAGCCGAGACCGGGCGGCCGAGGCGAGGCGGTGGGGTCGGCGCGCACCAGCACGAGCCACGCCTGGACGCGGGACGCGACCCAATGGCTCCGGGCTTGGGAAGCGGGGGCGGAGGCGGCTGGGGTCACCCCACTGCCGGCTGAAATTGGGGAGCGGGTGTCCGGCACCCGCCTGGGGGCGCAGGGGTTGCCCCGATGTCAGGCCTCCAGCCGAGCGGCCTCCGGCGGGGGCCTCGAGTCCTCCTCTTGGGTCGCCTCGCCTGCGGGGGGTGGGGGGGGCCTTCGCGCGCGCCTCTGGGCACAGGGCTGCCCTGCGCGCCCGCCGGCGTCTGCTCGGCTCGGCTCGGCTTGTCTGGGGGATGCCAGGACCCTCCTCTGACGCCGAGCCTCGAGCCTCGCGCAGCTGCGCGCAGGGTCCTGGGGCGGCTCCTCTGGGCCCTCCCGGAGGGCTCAGGAGGACCTGATGCGCGCCAATGGCCGGGCGCAGGAAGAACCGGAACGCTGGCTTTCTGACTTGGAGGGCCCCCAGGGCTACTAGTGCTGTGGATGCTCACCTGCATCCGTTCACCCAGGGCTCGTTCTTCCTGAGGACCCACTGTGTGCTGAAGCCCGGGTGACATCCAGAGTACAGGGGAGAGTCAGACCCCACAATTCCTGACCTGCTGGGCACCAGGGCCAGGCCAGGGCTTTCCCCACTTACTCTCTTCCCCGGATGTTTTCTGGGGACCTACTGTGTGCCAGGGCCAGTGCCGGTGATGCCAGACCAGAAGCAAAAAGTCCGACAGCCCCTGGTTCCTTGGCTGAGCTGAGCTGAGCTGAGCTGAGGCCTCCCGGGTCTGGGCTCGCCTCCCCCAGCTGCACACCCGCAGAGCCCTTGTACTTAACTTATTTTCTAAGAAATCACGTTCTTCAAACTTTTGGGGGCGGGGGTGGAACAAAAACACCTGAGCGTGGCTTGGACAGGGATATGAAGAGATTCACTGTGTTGGGATGACGCTGCGGCTGCTGAGATGATTGTGCTTAGACGCGCAAGCAAAGTGTTACCAGTGAGGCAGGCCAGATCTTAGAATTTATTTCAAAATAATTTTGGAAACATAGCCGTTTCCATGACCTGTTTCAAAAGCAGTCACCTATTATAGAGCTTAGTAAACGCTTGTTTTTCATGGTGTTTAAAATGTCAAAGGTGTTGGATTGGGGAACGCACCGCGCTTTATACTTTCCGGTATAATCGGAAAATCTCGTTTCTGAAACGTGGGGTTTCTGCGCAGACCTGCCCTGCTGGGCACAGGGCGGTTCCTCAGTGAGGGGCCGCCCGCGGGGCGCATTCAGGCCGATGAGCGAATATTCACAGGAACCCTCCTAACCGGAGACAGGGCAGAGGCAGCCAGGGGACCACAGACAGTGGTGCCTGCGGGGGCCCTGGGAGGACTCTGGGGGGACTCGGTGCTTCTGGGGGGACTTAGTACCTGGTGGGGGCTCGGTGCCCGGGGAGGGGTGGCTGGTTATTTTTTTGACTGCACCAGTTGCCCACCGCGGGGACGTGACTGGTGAGACGATGCTGGGGTCCTGCTGTGATGATGGCTCCGCGGGAGGCCGCGGCGGACCTGCGCCCAGTGGGCCACGCGCAGCGGGGTGCCCAGAAGGTGGCGCCTCCTGGAAGGGGAGGCCTTTGGTGTGCGGTGCCCCTGAGCCTGGAGGGTCGGGCCCCGCCCCCCCCACGCCTCCAGGGCTCCCCGACCCCGCGCTGTCTCCGCCCCCCAGCCCGCGGGGAGGCGCGGCCAGTCTCTCCGTCGGGGGTGGGGGTGAGGGTGGGGGTGGGGGTAGGAGTGGGGGTGGGGGTGGGGGTAGGAGTGGGGGTGGGGGAGGGGCCACAGCCCGTGAGTCCTGTTCCTGGCGGCTCCGCACAGTCGCGGTTCCGGACCTGCTGGGCAGAAAAGGGAAACCCGAGCTGGTGCCCTTTGTCCCGGGAGCAGCGGCTTCGTGGGGAGCTGGCGGAGCGGGGGACTCACGCAGAGCAGGGGAGCCAGGCCGGGGCGGGGCTGTGGGGCCCGGCCAGGCCGGGGCGGCGAGGGGAGCTGGGCGCGGGGCCCGGGCCGGGGCGGGGCTGCGAGGGGAGCGGGGCACGGGGCGCGGGGCCCGGGCCGGGGCGGGGCGGCGCAGGGCAGCGGCGGCCACGCGGGCGAGGGTCAGATCGCGCAGGGCCTCGGGCGCGGGCTGGGTGTGGGGGGTGCCCTCGTGCTGGGGGCCCCGAGCCCTCGGGCTGCACCCCTCTCCTCCCGGGCAGGCGAGGGAAGGGGCCGGCGCGGGGGTCGCCCCGCCTCTGCTCCGCGAGGGAACAGACGCGCGCTTGGCGCAGCCGGCCCTCCCCGTCTGGGTCCCGCGCCGGGGGCTTTGGGCGGCCTCCCCAGGGCGCGGCGGCCAGGACGGGGCGCCGGGAGTTGCGGGGGGCCGCGGGGGAGGGGCCCATCCGCCAAACTTTACTTGTGGACTTCAGTGGCTGAGCCGCTGACCACGACCCCCCCCCTTTCATCTCCCCTCGCCGGCGGCTCCCCCAGGCCGACAGGCCCCCAGCGCGCCCCTGTCCCCTCTCGGGCAGCGCGGGCCCCGGGACCGGGAGCCTCAGGAGGGGCGGAGGCGCTTCCCAGCCGCGCGCACCGGATCCGGCAAGGAGAGCGGGGCGGGCGGGGCTGCTTCTCGGGCCCTGGACTCTCCGGCGGGGCGGGCGGGGGAAGGGCTGGACGCGGACTCGCTCTCGGCTCCTCGGGGCCCTGAGGGCGCCCCCGGGTCGGGCTCGCCTCCATCCGGGCTATTTTCACTGCCGCGGGTTTGGGGTGGAGTTCCTCCCGCCCCAGGCCCAGCAGCGGGAGGGCACAGCGGGTGCCCGGGGGTGAGCAGCTGGGGGGGGAGCCCCACCTCACCGCAGTGTGACCGGAGGCAGGAGAGCAGGTGCCCCCGAGTAGCAGGGTATCGCGGGCGGGGCCTCCTCGGCCGCTGACCCCAAATGCTGCTCAGGGTCTGTGTCTTTGGGGAGCGTCTCCCCTTCTCCCTCTGTCGGGTGTTTGGCTGCGGAGTCCAGTCTCCTGTAATCTCCCCCTGTCGGGGGCCCCTGAGGGCAGCGGGCTCGCCCTTAGCTTAAGCCGCCAAAGAAAGGGCTGGAGAAACAGCCGCTCCTGAGGCCACAGGGTTCTGCGCCCGGGAGGAGGTGTGGGAGGGCAGAAGGTGTGGGAGGGCAGAGCGGAGCCACCAAGGCTGTCGCAGGCCTGGAGGACCCCCTGGCATCTGTGCCTTCATGCAAGGCCTCAGGGCCCCATCTCTCAAGGCCTCCCTGCACACTTCACCCCTGCTCTGCTCCTCCCCGCTCCCCTCACTGCACCCTCAAGGCCCCCCTGTCCTGTCCCCAATGTCATGAACTGAAAGAGCAGCTGATTCACGGGCCCCACTTCCAAGTGGGGACCCTCCTATCTTTGGATGGCTCGGCTGGCGTGGCTCCTCTCCCCGACGGTGTAGACAACTCGCTGACTTTATGACTTTGGGGGCCTGGGGGCCATGGTGGAGATGATGGTGGGTACCGGAGGCTGCTGGTACCCGAAACAACCCTGACCCCGAGCACAGCATCGCCCTCCTCTCTGGGGACTCTGCCCTGTACACCCCCCCAGGTGTGTCAACCACTGTTTCCTGCCCCCCCTTTCTTCTGGTGAAGTCCCAGTAGCTCTTTGAGTGCTCCCTGAGTCCAGAGCTGCCCCGTGTCTGATTCCAGATGCCGCCATGGTGGGAGCCTCTAGCAGGGACCCTCTGCTGGGAGTGGAGACCTTCCCGCAGGGGAGCTGTTCCCTTGGGCAGAAGCTGCACAGCCTCGGGGCAGCGAGTCTCATGCTGGGTAAGAGTGGGAAGGGGAACCCGGCCTGGAACCGGGTGCAGCGTCAGGTCACTGGGAAGGGACACAGAGTGCCCCCCAAAGCAGGACGGCGGGAGAGCTGTACAATTGTTGTGATCTTTATAAAAACGTTTCCTAAGAGAAATGCCTTGTGCCTTCAGCCGGAGCCATTTCTCTTTTGCCTGAAAATGCACAGAATCGATCCTGGCACTTATGTTCTGTTGCAGGCTAACGAACAGCGCCCCTGATGCTGACGCAGCTCAGGGTGACCAGGAAGCTCGGGTAAGTGACACTCAGATGTTGGAGCTTTGATTATGACGCATACATGAAAAATGAATCCATGTTAATAAATACCATGATCGATGTTGTCATCGCCTCTGAAGATCATCTCATTCGTGGCTCCAGTACACAGGTATCTTCTCATGTTGAGAGAAATACTTTACCCCAAAACTGCAGTGAAATAAAATAAATTGCATACAGGTAGTGAGTCCCCCCGAAATGTTACTTTTTCCTATCATGGAACATTCATAAAACAGAGCATTAAAAAAAAACAAAACACTTGGTGTTATTTTTCTACAGACACATTAGATGTGTTTGGGGAAGATGAAGAAAGAATATTGCTGAGATAAAACCTGTTTATCATGTTTTAGAGAACACGGTGTTAAATAAGGCCACTGTGGCGCTACCACAAAAGTTCACCTGAGTGTTTTAATGCCCCCGGCTCTCCTACTGCCTGTGGCATCTCCACTGAATGAACCAGGGTTTGAACTCCAGGAGAGACAGAAAGTGAAAGCCACAGTTGAACTATCAACTATGATCTTTGCCAGGACACTGGATTTATATTCACCTGTGACAGCTTGAGCTGGACGCGGGGATTCCATTCTATTCTAGTCTTCTTTTTCTTTTTGTAAAGACAAGGAAGTAGTCACAGGGAGAGGCTTTCAGTTATACAAAATTTTGTTTTATGAAATATCCTGGCCCCATTCATTATTCTGTCCTGCTCCTCCTGTAGGTGTAGACAACTTTCAGGACTCTCGTATTTGGAAGCTGGAAGGGCACAGACTTTGAAGTAGTGTCTTGTTTTCACTGCTTTATTGTTCATTGAAGCTATATACAGCTGTGGATTAAACAGAATAAATGTCTAAATTTAAAAAAGAAAAAAAGGGGCAAAAGATGTTTATTTGGGTTTAAAAGCCAGCCAGAGCACAGGTTCAGGCTAGAAACCCAAACCCCCTCACTAAAAAAAATGAGGTGACCTTGACATTAACTCCCAATGCTGCTGCTCTGCCCTCCCCTGCGTGACTAGCAGGAGGCCATGTTTCATCCTCAAATGTTTTCCTGTAACCACATGGCATTCTTAAGACTTTTTAAAAATTACTTTTCCCCTGCCAAGGAGCAAGGAGGTCATTTTAACAATGGAGCTTTCATCAGCTCCTGTTACTGGTCCTGATAATGACAGGGAGTTGTGTATATTATAGAAGAGTAGAATAAAATAGGATGAACAGTATCAAAAAGTACTCTTATGATTTAGCATGTTTCCTTCCTAGTTTTTTCCCCAATATTTGCAATTGTGAACTAGAATGCCTGTGCAGAAGGTGGGTAGTAGCTTGACAATTAGAAAATGAGCTTCCATTAAATACATCAGGGAATGTACAGTCACATCATATGATCTTCGTCCTTAAGGAAGCCCCTATATGACTGTCACTCATTTTTTTCTTTGCTCTTCACTACATATCCTAGGTCTGTACCACTGCGTGTATCATTACAATGTGATTTTAATTTTGTGCGATGCTTAATATTTAAATTAATCATGTTGTTTCCGTCTCAGATGTCAGTCAACAGTATGAAGGCAAGACTAGCCCACATTTTGGATGCAGCTAGACTGTTTATCCTCACTGCTGTGTAACAGCCCACTCCACGCTGTTGTTTACATTGTGTTCTACTCACGTAAGGAGTAAGAAGAGGATGTTTCATCAATATTTTCTTTCTGTGGTGGAATGACATTATTGCTAGAATTCTCCACTTTCAACATTTAATACTAAGTACTTCCCATACCATTAAAAACTTTCCAGTGTTATTGTATCTAGTTTTTACATTTAATTTTGTATATATTGGCGGTTTTTACTTAGTTTCAAATCATCTTACTGTAAATGAAGTGGTAGGGAGCATTTTTACACATAAAGATTTTTTATCTGAATTTGGAAAAATTTCTTTAGGTCACTTACAAAAATAAAATTACTATTTCCATTGAAAATGTAAGTATTTTAGGGCCTCCCCGGGGGCGCAGCGGTTGAGCGCCGTGCTGTGGAGCTGCCCGCGGCCTCTGCAGCGCCGGTTCGATCCCCGCCGGCCTCGGAGCCGCCCACAGGGCGGCGACCCCTCCCGTCTCCCCGCTGCGCCCCTCGGCCGTGTGCTTCTTGGTCAGTCAGCCCGTGCTGTCCCCGCTGTCTCTGGTGAATCCTCTCACCCTCCCGCGCATCTGGCCTGTGCCCCGGCTGTTCTAAAACAAATAAATCTATAAAAAAAAAAAAAAAAAGGAAAATGTAAGCATTTAAATTTCATAGTTCTCCGAAGAAGGGTTGTGAACTTACTTCTCAGGAACAGTGAGGACAGATCTCCTCTCCTGCCGTCATTTCTCCGGTCCCGCTTTCCGGGTCAAGCTTCCCGCCGCGGCGCGGTCCTCACTCGTGTCAGCTCCCGCCATCGCCCAGCGGGTCAGCGGCGCTCTCAGGCCTCGGGCAGGTCCTTGAGCAGCCCTTTGCCGTATCGGCCCTTTAAGTGCGCCCGCGGCCGTCACGTCATCACGCTGAGACTCCCAGGATGCACCAGGCGGGACCTGAGCGGCCGCGCCAAGAGCGGCTCGCAGGGGCAAATTAAAGGAGCGAGAGGAGCGAGTGTCGCCGCCTTGTGGACCGGGGTGGTATCGTGGGAAAATCGAGGTCAGAAACGCGAGCGGGACTGGGAGTGGCAGCGCCAAGAGCGAGGCAAAATAAAGGCCTGAGATGAGCAAGTGTCGCCGCCTTGTGGACTGGGGTGGTATCGTGGGAAAAACGAAGCCAGAAAACTTAGCGGGACCCTAAGTGGTCACGCCAAGAGCAGCTCCCAGAGGCAAAATAAACCGGCGAGAGCAGTGAGTATCGCCGCCTTGTGGACCGGAGTGGTATCGTGGGAAAATCGAGGCCCGAAAGGCGAGCAGAACCGGAAATGGGACCGAAAGTGGCCGCACCAAGAGCGGCTCCCGGCGGCAAAATAAAGGGACGAGATGAGCGAGTGTCGCCGCCTTGTGGACAGGGGTGGTATCGTGGGAAAATCGAGGCCCGAAAGGCGAGTAGGACCGGAAGTGGCTGCACCAAGAGAGGCTCCCGGCGGCAAAATAAAGGGGCGAGACGAACGAGTGTCGCCGCCTTGTGGACCGGGGTGGTATCGTGGGAAAATCGAGGCCCGAAAGGAAGGCAGGACCGGAAGTGCGACCGGAAGTAGCTGCACCAAGAGCGGCTCCCGGCGGCAAAATAAAGGGGCGAGACGAGCAAGTGTCGCCGCCTTGTGGACCGGGGTGGTATCATGGGAAAATTGCAGCCCAAAACGCCAGCCAGACCGGAAGTGGCCGCCATGAGCCGCTCCTGGCGGTGTAATGAAGGTGCGGGTGGAGCGGGTGGCGCCGCCTTGTGGCCCGGAGGGACCATGAGGGGGAAACGCAGAATGAAGACGGCAGGGGATGGGGAAGGTAAAGCGCCAGGAGGGGTGAGAAAGGTGGAGAGGAAGGCGGGAAGCCGGGGGAGGGACGAGGTAGTGGGGCCAAGCACGGAACAACGCGCGGGCCGGACTGTGACTAAGACGCGGAGACGTGCTTCAGGCAGTGGAAAGGGCTGCGAGGACCCTGTGGAAAATAATGGGGAAGGGCGCCGCCTGGTGGCCACCAGCAGCGAGACAGCAAAACCCTGACCAGTGCCCAGCGGGGAGGAAAGGCCCCGGGGGCCGAGGCAGAGCCGAGTGACGGCGGGGAGCAGCCATGACGGCCCGCGGGAAGGGGCGGCCCGGCGCAGGGGCAGGGGCAGCGGAGAGCGGTGGGCACGTGTGTCCAGAGCCTTGGAGAGGAAAACGGATAGACTAGAATGTTAGCGAGACTAGGAAATCTGTCCTCACTATTCCTGAGAAATAAGTTCACGACCCCTCTGTAGGGAACTTTGAATGCAAAATACTTGAGATTTTAATGGAAATAGTAATTTTAGTTTTGGAAATGACCTAAGGAAATGTTTTAAAATTCAGATAAAAATCTTTATGTGTGAAAATGTTCACCAACACTTTTACAGTAACATGATTTGAAACTATCTAAATAAAACCCCCAGTTTATACAAAATTAAATGTAAAGAGTGGACAGATACAGTAACACTGAATAGTTTTTAATGCTGTGGAGAGTACTTACAGTGCAGTGTTAAATGATGAAATAGAATATAAAATTTTAGCGATGATGTCAGCATCCTCTCCTTAACCCTCATGTGTGAGTAGAATACAATGTAAACCACAACTGTACATCGAGTGGAATATTATACAGCAGTGAAAATAAAAGCCTCAAGCTGCATCCAAAATGTGGACTAGTCTTGCCTTCATACTGTTGAGTGACATTCAAGACAGAAACAGAACAGGATTTAATTTATTTAAATATTAAATACCAGACAAAATTAAACTCACGTTTTAATGATACATGCAGTGATACATACCTAGGATATGTAGTGAAGAACAAAGAAAAAAAATTAGTGACAGCCTTACAGGGGCTTCCTTATGGACAAAGATCATGACATAATCTGACTTTACATTTCTTTTTTTTTTTTTTTATAGCACTTTAAAGGTCTTTTATTTATTTATTTATTTATTTTATTTGTTTGTTTGTTTTGTTTATACATGCACTGGGTACAGTCAGAAGCGCGGGAGGGTGAGAGAATTCACCAGAGCCAGAGAGGGGAGCAGAGCAGGCAGAAGGACCGAAGTACACTGCTGAGGGGAGCAGCGGGCGGCAGGAGAGGTCAGCGCGCCATGTGGGATCCTCCTCCGGTGGCCGGGGAGCAGCCGGGGATCGAACCGGCACTGCAGAGGCTGCAGGCAGCTTTGCAACCCAGCGCTCAACCACTGCGCCACCGGGGAGGCCCTGACTTTACATTTCTTGACCTATTTAAAGGAAGCTCATTTTATAATTCTCAAGCTACTATCCACCTTCTACACAGGCATTCTATTTCACAATTGCTAATATTGGGGAAAAAACTAGGAAGGAAACATGCTAAGTCATAAGAGTACTTTTTGATACTGTTCACCCTATTTTATTCTACTCTTCTATAATATACATTTTCTATAATATACATGACTTTTACATTTTCTATAATATACACAACTCCCTGTCATTATCAGGATCAGTAACAGAAGCTGATGAACGCTCCATTGGTAAAATGACCTCCTTGCTCCTTGGCAGGGGAAAAGTAAATTTTTAAAAGTGTTAAGAATGCCATGTGGTTACAGGAAAACATTTGAGGATGAAACATGGCCTCCTGCTAGTCATGCAGGGGAGGGCAGAGCAGCAGCGTTGGGAGTCAATGTCAAGGTCACCTCATTTTTTTTAGTGAGGGGTTTGGGTTTCTAGCCTGAACCTGTGCTCCGGCTGGCTTTTAAACCCAAATAAACATCTTTTGCCCCTTTTTTTTCTTTTTTAAATTTAGACATTTATTCTGTTTAATCCACAGCTGTATATAGCTTCAATGAACAATAAAGCAGTGAAAACAAGACACTACTTCAAAGTCTGTGCCCTTCCTTCCAGCTTCCAAATACAAGAGTCCTGAAAGTTGTCTACACCTACAGGAGGAGCAGGACAGAATAATGAATGGGGCCAGGATATTTCATAAAACAAAATTTTATATAACTGAAAGCTCCTCCTTGTGACTAGCTCATTGCCTTTACAAAAAGAATAGAAAAGAGGTGCCTCCCTGGGGGTACAAGGGGTTAAGACATTGCACTATAAATCTGTCACCATCAACTGCAGCACAAGTTTGATTGCTGTCTAGGGAGCTGAGCCACATGGTACAGCAGACCTCTCCTGTCTCCCCACTGCTCCCCTCAGCAGTGTGTTTCAGTCAGTCTGCCTGTTCTGCCCCCCACTCTGTCTCTGATGAATCCTCTCACCCCCCCATCTCTGGCTTACACCCCAGTTCTGGAGTACAGAACTGAGATGTTCTGTACTGGAGTACAGGCCAGAGATGTGGGGTGTGAGAGGATTCACCAGAGACAGAGTGGGGAACAGAACAGGCAGATCTACTAAAATACACTGCTGAGGGGAGCTGTGGGCCTAACAGGAGAGGTCTGCTGTGCCATGCGGGACCCTCTCCCACCGGCTGGGCTCGAACTGGCGCTGCAGAAGCTGTGGACAGCTTCACAGCACTGTGCTCAATCGCCTGAGCCACCAGGGGAGGCCCTGTTTTAAATACAATTCTTAACACACTTCACTTTATTTGCATTTAGAGTTAGGACCTTCTACCTTTTGAGTATCAGATTGTAAGAGGTTATGGAAGAATTTCATCTTTATTTATCCCGCAGGCCCAGAGGTGATCTTTTTTCCAAAGTCCGAGCCCTGAGCCATCAGGTGACAGAGCACCCATAGCCCCAGCAGGGCCACATTTGCACCTTTAAGCAAGCTGGGGGTAGAGAAGCAGGAGACTTCCAAGAGCTCACCTGGTCATCTGGGGTGCACAAGTCAGGCTCCTGGCCAGATAAAGTCCATCAGTTACCCCCTGAAACGTTTAGTCCACCGCCAGGCCTTGTGCCAACATAACTAACTCTAGCTAATGAGAAGGTCACAGTGGGCTGGGGCAGGCACGCTAGGGCAGGAGGCTCAGGTGGGTCTGTTGCAGGCCCAGGGACTCTCAGCCTTTCACCGACAGCATCTACTGCAGCCAGACCCTAAAATATCTGCAAGTCATTAAAACAACAAACAAGGTTAAGGTTGCTTGAATTCCTGAGAAAGATTTTTTTTAAAATCATTGTTTAAAATCCCCTTACCTGAAGCTGACATAAAAGCAAGGCTTGGGGCCTCCCTGATGGCGCAGCACTGTGAAGCCATCCACAGCCTCTGCAGCTCTAGTTCCATCTGATGGAGGACAAGAATGGAGAGACTGGAAAGGAGGCCTCGCAAGACCAAAACCTGACTCACGCAAGGAGGTGGGGGTCGAGGGGAATCACAGGACCATTAACCCAGCTGTGGAGGTCAGACCCTCAGGCGCCAGGGCCTTGTCACAAGGCATGAGACCCGAGCAGGATCCAAAGCTCTAGGGAGTGGAGCACAGGCCTGAGGGGAAGGATAAGGAGATCGGGGCCACCTTGGAATCTCCGGTCCCTTTCTAGTGTTGCCTGTTACCCGACATCAGCAACAAGCAGCCGCTCCACGGAGGAGTGACCCTCCCAAAGAAAAAGGACTGTATCAGGGCAGTCTCTGCACAGGCTTGGGGCAGCGCTCCCTCTGCCCACCCGCGACTATGCAGGAGCCTCTTTTCACCAAGTCTCTCCCTCTGCAGGGCAGCAGCCTCCTGCCTGCCGTGACCTGTCAAGGCCGCCACCTGCAACCATGCAGGCCTCTCTCAGCAAAACCTGTTCCTTTGCATCCGAGGGCAAGTTAGGGTAATTAGGCAGTTGTAGGGACCCTGCAGGAGGGGACCTCTGCAGAGGTTAGGAAGGCTTCAGAAATAAGGACCGTTAGAGGAATGTGACGAATTCCACTGGGAATAAACAACATCCCAGGGCCAAGGACAACATGGTTAACGCTGGCCCTGGTTTCCCTCAGGTGACACAGGGAGGTGGAGTCTGGGGACAGGGAGAGTGGTTTACATATGAGGAGGGCAGCAGCCTCAGGCCCGGGGACCACCGTCCACCCCTCTGTCAGAGCGCAGGGGTATTTCTGTGGGGGGAGATGAGCAGGGGTCAGCGCTGAGACCGGTGGGCGCTAACCTGTTTGTCTACAATAGATAAGGATGTGAAGACCCCCGCTCAGCGGCAGAAGAAGTGAGTCAGCCGGGAACTCACCAATCACAAAGAGACTGGTGCAGCTTTACGATAATGAGGGAAAGAAGGCATATATCCCCTGAGACACGACTCCACTTTGGCTTCCGTGCCCCTCCCTGGCCTGGTTTCATGGCCTGGGAATCCCGCTTTATTTCTGTTCTTTTTCTCAATAAAACTTTTTCTTTCTCTAAACAAACCTGCCTCTTCTCGCATGCTCGCCTGAGCGTCTGCAAAGTTCCTGCTGCGGCTTCATGAGACGCCAACCTGTGGGGGTCTAGGGGCTGGGACGCGGCGCTGCCCTGAAGCCTGGGGTCTGTTCCTGGCTGGGAGACTAGGCCTGACAACTCCGCTATCACCTTTCCCTTTCCCTAATAAACCTGCTCTTTAAATGTAACTAGTGTCTCTGTCTCATGGAGAAAGGTGCCTGGGGAACGCGCTGGGTGCCGCTGAAACGGGAGCTCTGGGGACACCTTTCCCAGAGTGAACCCCAGGACCCGCACCCACTCTACAACCTACAACATTTTGGCGACCACAAAGGGACTCGTCACATCATCTGGTGCCAACATCACATCCCCAGCCAGGAAGGTGACCCACAGGGCTCCGCCGACCTCCCCTGTCTCCCCACTGCTCCCCTCAGCAGTGGATTTCAGTCAGTCCACCTGTTCTGCTCCCCACTCTGTCTCTGGTGAATGCCCTTACCCCCACCCCCGCACCTCTGGCTGCACCCCAGCTCTTGTGTTCATAAGTAAATAAATATGTAAAAAAATAAGTAAAATAAAAGCATGACTAAAACATCATTTACCTGCAGATCCTGACATGCAGCCTATTGCAAACATTAAAAAGCAGCTGTTATTCAAAATACATTTTGAGAAACACGAAGGCTCTTGGCTCCACATATAATGTTTCTCTTTGCACATCATGCTGCAGCACAATACACTGTGGCCCCGACTTTGACATCCCTGAGTCTTTTCTGTGGTTTGGTGTAACATTCAGCCTTGAGCCGGGAGCCTGTGTCTATCTTTGGGGCTCAGACGGGTCTCCCGGGGACTGCGTAAACTTGGGTTTTGTTTCCTGAACCGAGGCTGGCCTCTCTCTGCCTTTGGATGGGTGAGCCCAATAGAGGATCTTCTACTGCCACTTTGACTTTAGTTTACTGGTTCTATTTCCCTGCTCAGCTTTTTCTTATTTCTTTCTTTCTGTCTTTCTTTTTTCTTTATGCATTTTCTTCTCTTTAAATTATACAGGGGATCTCTTTTTAACACTTCTTTCAGGGAAGATCTAGTGTTACTGGATCACTTCTTCAGCTTTTGTTTGTCTGGGAAGAACATTATTACTCTCTTGTCTCTGTAGAAGAATCCTGCAGGTTAGGATATTTGTGACTCATATATTTTATCTCTATTCTGAATACACTATTTCATCCTCTCCTTGCCCTACAGTCCTCCAGAAATGTAAGTTGGGTCCACCCCCACATATGCACAGCCCATGACAGAAACCTGTTAAGAGGTGCTGTGATCGGGACCTCGTCCTGGCGTGGTTACCTGAGAGTTCTGAAAGGACAACTCATAAAACTAGAGCTGTAGATATCTACGAGGCTCTCGATGAAAACCAGCATCAGGCTCATCATCAGTACACTCTACCTGTAGATCAGAGAGAGAAAGATTGGAGAAAGATGAAAATTTCAATAGAAAGCAGTCCAATAAATCCAGAAGAGAAAAAAATATTATATAAGGAAAAGATAGCCAAGATCACCAATTTTCTGGAGCACAAGGACCACAGGGAAAGCTTTGGGTATGGGGACATTGCAAGAGTCGTGCATATCGCTGGAATGCTATGCAAGAAATCCCAGGTCCAGACATGCAAATGAGCCTCTTACTTTGTGAAGTAAAAGTGCTTATTATTGTAAAATAATCTCCTTTGTACTCGCTGAGTATTTCTGCTGGGAGAAAAAGGTGAAAAGAACAGGGCAGGGGCGACCAGCAAACATTTCCATTTTAAAGCCATTTTAGTGACTCATCCAGGGCTGCTACCATCTAAGGCCAAATGTGGCATTTACTCTATGAAGCTAATTCATTTCCTGCATGTTTGCTTGGGGTATTATTTCATTTCCCTGGAAGTTCCTATCAGATTCAGAATATAGAGTATTATTCATTGTATGCAAAAATATAATGGGTCTTTATAAAAATGTAGTAAATAAAAATGATATTTTAGGGTATTATCACTGTGAATATTACATTAATCTCAAAGTCTAAAATCCATTTACCTTATTCACAGAAATTCATGCATTACACATGGATGCAGAATATTGAATTGAATTCTTTCCCCTGTTTAGTGAGATGAGCTCTAGAGACTGACTTCATTTTAGTGGATTTATTTCATACTACTGTTCCCAATATGAGTTACTTTGTATTTGGGGGCTTTATATGTACCTAGTTGGCCAGAAAACAGCAGGCAAAATATAAGCAGACCAAAAATACCACAAAACAGCAACAAAACCACCCTTTTATATTCAGAACAACTGTTTTTTTTTTTTTTTGGACACTCGCCCGTGGCCGGGGAACGAACTGGCGCTGTAGAGGCTGCGGGAAGCCTCGCAGCCCAGCGCTCAACCGCTGCGCCACCAGGGGAGGCCCTATATTCAGAACAACTGAATAGCAACATTTTTCTATATCAAAGACAAGAAGCTACCTATAAATTGTTTTTCAACTCTATAATAGAGTGATAGCCTGAAATTAATGAGGCAAAAGTAGCTTTCCCAGTTCCTGCGCAGTTCTGAGTGATCATATGACTAGTTCTTCCCAATAGAAAGTGAACAGACGTGACAGATGTTACCTCTGCACATGTTAAGAAACTCATGATCCTTCTCAATGAACTCTTAGTCCACACCCAAAGAATGGATGTGATATACTATATTTTCGAGGATACTTGATCTGTGAGCCAGAGGTTGCTAGTACTCTTGCAAGACCTCACAAGAAAAAACTGGTTCCATCAGAATTGTGTCTTAGAAAGAATCATTTTATAAGAAAAAATGTTTTATTCTGTTGAACTGTTGCATTTGGATTTAATTATCACCACAATCTTGTGTGTCTTCACTAATCTTTATGATTAATATACTCTCTGCTATTGCTTACAAATCTTTAATATTTCCAGAGATCTCAGTCTATGTATCTCCCTAGGAGCTCTGTAACTTCACCTATTTTCATTCGAGTGCACATACTTTGTGGATATTTCATTGTGTTAACAACTTTACTGGGGAAGGGAGCAGTTGGTCATATATATTGGTACGAAATGAAACTGTTACTAGAATGATAATGATAACATTAACAATGCATGTAGATAAGTAGTGATTTTACCACTTCTTAAAAGTAGAACTACATTCCCTTAAATTTAGTTAATATTATTTTCTGTGCCCATGAACATTCTCTAACAGGTGTGATGAGACTGCACTTCCTGCCTTCGTTATTCAGACAGTGAAAGTTGTTTCATGGAACATGTGGTTTAGATGAAAAGGAACAGATAGGAAATAAAACTATAATGCAAATCTAGACCCATAGCAGGATAGTTGACAGCTGCATGTCTGCAGGAAAAAAACAGTCAATATTTTCTGTGAGGATAGATTGAAATGGCATTAAAGTACAGCTGGATTTTATCTGATGCTCCATAAGAGTACACATTTCTCTCAGACATAAAAGAAGTATTTGGATGAGTTTGACAACTTAGACTATTCAGTAATGACAAATTCTATCAATTTTTTATATATAAATATTGATAATTTTCATATAGCTAATGTGGCATTTCAGAAATACGAACGCCTTGCTAAATACTATCGTAACAGATTCAGGTTTGCTCAGTGATGCCTTTGTGCTAACTTCTCTAAAACCTTACTAAAATGATATACACCATTCATGACCTTTTTACTATACTGAGAAAGATACAACTCTGTGATCTCAAGAACTGTATGATGCTGCATGCACTGTATGCACTCAGTTTCTTCTAGAAATTTCCTAATTATGTTTATATATGAGCTTGATCAGTATCTGAAGAAATTAGATCATGTATATAATATTATACTTTTCATTAAACTATTAACTGTTCTTCCATCAACATTCAGTTAATCTTATGTATCAAATAAATCACATTCCCAAATATTTTCTTTTGTTTTATGCTTGTCAGGCAGAATTTTATGTTCATTTTTATTATATTCCTATGCATAATGTGAAAGCTTTTACCAAAATGCAGAGGTTATTCATATGAGCAAAGAGATTTATTGGTGGGGAAGAGCAAGGGGTTAGACATTTTAGTTATTTAAAAAACACAAGAGGGCCTCCCTGGTGGCACAGGCAGTTGGGTACCACACTGTAAAGCTGTCCGCAGCCTCTGAAGTGCGGGTTCAATCCCAGCTGGTCAGCGAGAGTCCCACTTGGTGAGGCAGACCTCTCCTGTCTCGCCCGCTGCTCCCCTCAGCAGTGTATTTTGTCAGTCTGCCTGTTCTGTTCCCCGCTCTGCCTCTGGTGGATCTCTCACCCCCCGCATCTCTGGCCTGTACCCCGGTTCTCATATAAAAATAAATAAATCTTTAAAAAAAACCACAAGAAACTCTTAGTGTCATCCTGTAAATGCTGTGAAAGCTAACAACAAGTATTATATTGATATACATTACTCTAAGGACAAGGAGCTTGGCCCACAGACCCTGGATCATCTGTACTGCACCCTCCTTTCTTAAATAAACATAAAGATATACCCAGCTCATGGATTGGAGGAATCAACATTGTCAAAATGGCCATCCAAACCAAAGATGTTTAGAGATTCAATGCAATCCCAAAAAAATCCCAATGGCGTTCTTCAAAGAAATAGAACAAAGATTACTGAAGTTCATCAGAAATCACAAAAGACCCCAAATAGCCAAAGCTTTCCTGATATCAAAGAAGGGAAATGAAGGTATCCTACTTCTGATCTCCAACTATACCATAAGGCCAGAGCAGTTAAAGCAGCATGGTAATGGAACAAAAACAGACACACAGGCTAATGGAATAGAATTGAGAGCCCAGGAAAAAAAAAACACATGTTTATGGACAAGTAATATACAAGACAGGAACAAAGTACATACACTGGAACACGGAAAGTCTCTCCAATATATGGTGCTGAAAAATAGGAACTGCCACTAGCAAAATAAAGAAACTAGATCATTATCTCATGCAACACATGAATGAAAATTGACTCAAAATGGATAACAGACTTGGCTATGAGACCTGAAACCACCAAAAAACAAAACACAGAAAAGAATAGGACAGAATAGAATGAAACTCCTAGGTTCCAAAAACTTGCCCCAAGTTTATAGCCATACCCAGGGTCCGGCCCAAAGGCATACTGTCATTTTCAGTCTCCTCCTAGAGCTCAGATCCTGATGCTGGCAGCATAGATTCCAAAGTCAACAAGAAAGATGGTGGCAGCAACATAGAGCGTTCCACTTTTGTGGAAGTGCAGCCGTGGGCTGACTTTGGGGCAGGCTTGCAACTCCTATGAGGCCAGAGGCATCGTCAATTATTTGGGTGCTAAGACTCCAATGAAGCATTGAGGAAGGAAAAACACCTCTGGGAATAACCAGAGCCATGTCAAGGAGCTGCAGGAATGCCAACATCAGGGTTCTCCACCACGGAGTAGGAGTAACATCTCTACAGTGTCATTAATGGAGATCACTCACTTCAGTCATGTGTGACCTGCAGGGCCTCAGGTCACCTCTAGCAGGTGCTCAGTAAATGAGATTCCTTTATCCTTCCCTGAGGAGCCCAACTTCTCCTGTAACAGGGATTTGCGAGGAAGGAGGTAACATCACTTTAACACATTAGAACGGTTAAGAGGCAAAGTGGATTATCTACAAAATGCCCAGTCCCAGATGAATGAGTCACTGTGGCTGATGCAGGCCCTGAAATAGGAGGAATCCTCTTGGCACCAGGTGTCATAGAGAAAAGATCTCAAGAGCTCAGGAAAGGGCCCTTCCAGGTCTCAGATGATCCCCCATGAAGAACTTTGCACCCCCCATTGGTGACAGCACCTGGCTACACCTGCTGTGTTTCTTGGTTGGGTCCCTTAGTGATGCAGAGAGGGTCACTGCTCTCACTACACCGACTCTGTTAATAACCCATTTTAGAAAACCCGAGACTTGCAGCCAGAGTGTGGCAGGCCATGTGGCTGTGGTCACTCAAGGCTCAGGAAAACCTGGATTCTACTCAAGGGAGAGTCTAAAGTCAGCTCATGGGCCTCCCTGGTGGCACAAGGGGTTAAGAAGCAACCTATGAAGCGATCTGCAGCATCTGCAGCCTGTGTTTGATCCCCAGGCGGCCAGGGAGCTACCCACATGGCGCAGCAGCCTCCTCCTGACTCGCCAGCGGTTCCCCTCAGCAGTGCATGTCAGTCAATCTGCCTGTTCTGTCCCCCACTCTGTCTCTGGTGAATATTTACCCCCCATACCACTGGCCTGTGGTTCTTGTATGCATAAATAAATCTTTAAAAAACAAAAAAATATAAAGGCGCCTCCTGAGGCAGTGTCCAGGTATGAAATTCCCTTCCATGCTCTGAACGGCCACTTCAGCTGCGTGGCGGGGAAGTGACGCCTCAGCCCTCAGACGTGGGCCCAGGCCCGGCAGGGGCAGCACCTCAGACCCCCCGAGAAAAGCTGAGCCCCAGGCCCACGCGGCCCGCTGGTCAGAGCCCGCACCCGGGAGACTGGACGCGGCTCGCCTCCTGCCTGCTGCACCTGGGGCGGCGGGGACCGGCCCCGGGAACGTGGACAACCGGGTCACCGAACCGCACCGCAGACCGCGGGGATGAAACCGCGCAGGCCGGCGGGGGAGGAGGCCCAGGACCCGCCAGGGCGCCCTCGCGGGCCGCAGAAGGGAGCAAAGGCCTCGGGAAGCGGCGGGGCCGCGCGCAGGAGGGCCCCGGACCCCCGCGTCCTGCCGGCTCCACGATGAACCCCCAAAGCCCCAGTTCTCCACATCCAGCCCGCGCGCTGGGGCCTCCCCGAGCCCTGGCGCCTTCCCTCCCTCGGCCTCACCTGTCCGCTCCAAGGCCGCCGGCTCCCCAGGTCAAAGGGCAGCGGCGCCCCACGGGGCTCCTGAAGGACCAGGCTCAGCCAAGCCTGAACCTCATCCCGAGTCCGAGTCCGGGGCCAGCAGGGCCAGGGGCCTGGCCTGGGCGAGCGCGCATGCGCGGTAGTGGCACAGGTGCAGCCAGGTGCGCTGGGCGGGGCTGGGCGCGCAGGGGCCCCGGAGGCCACGCCCACCCGGCCCAGGCGCTGGCGGGACGGTTCGCAAATAAACACTGAGATGCAGACAGATGCCTCCTCCTCGCCCAGAACACTGCGCCCCTGCGGTATCTGCTCGTCGTTAAAAGGGCAAACAAGGTGCTTGGATTTCTGGGAAAGATTATTTTTTAAAAATCATTCCTAAAAATCGCCTTACCTGAAGCTGACATAAAAGCATGACTAGGGGCCACCCCGGTGGGGCAGGGGTGAAGCACCGCACTGTGACGCCATCCACAGCCTCTGGAGCCCCAGTTCCATCCCCAGCCAGGAAGGTGACCCACAGGGCGCCACAGACCCCTCCTGTCTCCCCGCTGCTGCCCTCAGCCGTGGATTTCAGTCAGTCCGCCTGTTCTGCTCCCCACTCTGTCTCTGGTGAATCACCTTACCCCCACCCCGCACCTCTGGCCTGCTCCCCAGCTCTTGTATTCATAAGTAAATAAATCTGTAATAAAATAAAATAAAATAAAGCATGACTAAAACGTCATTTACCTGCAGATCCTGACATGGATCCTACTGTAAACATTCAAAAGCAGCTGTTACTCAAAATACACTCTGAGGAAAATGAAGGCTCTCGGCTCCACACAGAACGTTTCTCTTTGCACATCATGGTGCAGCACAATACACGGTGGCCCCGACTTTGACACCCCTGAGTCTGCTCTGTGGCTGGTGGTTAGGGGTTGGAGTCAGGCCGAGCTGCAGAGCTGGGGGCGGGGTCCTCCCGTTATCAGCAGTGATGAATGAAGGAGTCAAAAAAACAAAAGCACACACCCCTGCCAAAGTGCAATTACAAACACGTCTCCAGTGGAGTTTCCCACCTTGGAAGAATTGATGGCGGACAAGAGTGAAAAACCTGGAAACAGGGTGCCCCCAGATCAGAACCTGACTCACACAAGGAGGTGGGGGTAGAGGGAAGTAACACGACCATCAACCCAGTGTAGAACTCAAGGCCCTCAGGCGCACTGCTTTGTCACACGGCCCAAGGCCTAAGCAGGACGAGATGCTCTAGGGAGTGGTGCACAGGCCTGAGGGGAAAGACAGGGAGATTGGGTCCATCCTGGAACCCGTGGTCCCTTTCTACTTTTGCCAAGTTATCCAACATCAGCAACAAACAGGCCACTCCACAAAGGAGTGATGCCTCCCAAAGAGAAAAGGACTATATCTGTGCAGGCTCTGCCCTGGCGTAGGGCAGCCATCCCTCTGGCCACCCGTGACTACACAGGTGCTATTGTAACAGGGTGGTCCCCAGGAAAGGGGGAGGTTCCAGGTTTCCTGCCCCACCCAAAAGGAGGGTGGAGCACAGCAGGGAGAAGAAGCTGCAGAGCAGACTGAGGAAGGAAGGAAGCAGGATGGAGCCAGGAGACCTGGAGGAGGCACATGGAGCCGAGAGACACGTGGAGAAACTGCGCCTGCCTTTTGGTCGTGGACTGCGTGACACAGATGCGGGTGAGACCCGTGGGGAGGGAACAATGGCAGGTTTTGTCTTGATTTTGCTCTTTTCCTCCCAGACTTGTCTGGTTGTTTCTGATGGTTTTCTGTGGGTCTCCACTGGAAGGTGTTTTAGACTCTGACAGGCTTTGGGGCCTTGCTCTGGGCCAATCCTGCTTGGATGGACTTTTACCCACGAGGGGACAGGTGACTTTGGGTGCTTGATTTAGAAACTATGTTCTTTGTCTTTTCTGTATTGTTCAGTAATTGTATTAAAGTTCCTTCCCACTAAAATCTCATTTGTGTTGATGCGTCGGATGGCAGAACCCAATCAGAGTAGGCAGGTTTGTGGGGTCTGGGGTGCCCCTCTCCCTGCCTTGTAACACTTCCTATCACCAACTCTCTCACTCTGCAGGGCAGCAGCCTCCTGCCTGCCTGTGCCCTATACCTGCCAGGACTTCTCCTCACTGACCCCCTCAGCAGAGGCCACTCCCCTCAGGGCCCCTGCCTGCTACCTCACACCACATACAAAAACCAACTCAAAATGAATTAAAGAACTGGACATGACCTGAAACCATAAAATACATAGAAGGGAATAGAGGTGAAACGCTACATGACACGCACCTCAGTGACATCTTTAATGACACATCACCCGAAGCAGTGATAGTGAAGGAAAGGATACATGGTGGGATGACATCAACTAAAGGCCTTCCATACAGTGAAAGAGACATGAACCCAAACAAAGACACAACTCACTGATGGGGAGAAAATTTTTGCACACAACTAATGATAAGGGACTGATCACAAAAATCTACAAAGAGCTGACGAGACTCAACAACAACAAAAAAAACAGAGTAAGTCACCCCATCAAAAAATGGGCAAAAGAGCTAAAAAGAAACTTCTCCAAAGAGGAAATGCAAATGGCCACCAGGTATACAAAAAAATGTTGAGCATCACTTGCAATCAGGGAAATGCAATCAAAACTACAATGAAATACCATCTCATACCAGTGAGAATGGCACATATTAAAAAACTAGCAACAACAAATTTTGGCGAGGATGTGGAGAAAAAGGAACTCTCCTGCACTGCTGGTGGGAGTGCACACTGGGGCAACCACTATGGAGAGCTGTGTGGAGGTTCCTCAATCTACTGAAAATGGAGCTTCCATCATGCCCAGCAATTCCACTCATAGGAATCTACCCAAAAGACACAAAAACATTAATTCAAAAGGACACCTGCACCCCTTTGGTTAAAGCAGCAGTATTTACAATAGGGAAAATCTGGAAGCAACCCAAAAGCCCAAAAATAGATGACTGGATCAAGAAGATGTGGTACATACACACAATGGAATATTACTCAGCAATCAAAAAGATAAACTCATACCATTTGCAGCAACATGGATGGAGCTGGAAGGGATCATGCTCAGTGAAATCAGCCAGAAAGAAAAGAAAAATCCCAGATGGTCTCACTCATGGCAGGAATTCAGAAAACCTGAATATGGGACCAAGAAAAAGACTAATTATACTAAAGTTAAAAGCAAAATGAACAGGCAACTATAAACCAGAGACACACTGTGGAGGGGGGGAGAGAAGGGCGTAGGATCGAAACAAGGGGGTGGGAATTTCACGGGGACTGTAACCCAGATGAAAACGCATACATTGTGCAAAGATGAAAATGATGTAAAAATATATAAAATTTAAAAATTTATAAAACCTTCAATTTAAGCAAAGAAAAAAAAAAAAAGACAATTGTTCTCCGAGGCACGCAGAGCCGCCCCCACCCTGTGGTGAATCCCCGGACAGGGGTCCCCAAGGGTCGCTGAGGCCAGAGCTGCCCGTCTGAGGCCCCGTCCGGCAGGGCCCGGGAAGAGGAGGGCGGGACCGGCTCAAGGAGGAGCGAGATCCCAGCACCCCCAAGGGAAGGGCCCCAAGGCCTTCTCCTCAGCCTCCTGGACACGCCAACCTGCCCCGCTGCCCAGGAGGCTGGTGGGGGACACCAGCACCCCCGCCGGAGCCCCCCACCACCCCAGCTCCGAGCCCGGGGGTGTGTGTCCTGGCCCTGCCCCTGCCTCTCCCCAGCTCCCCAGCCAGAGGCTGCTCCGGCTCCGGCGACCCTGTGCTGTGGTCTGGGGCGGTGCCGGGGTGAGGCCCGGGCCTGCGTTTCCCCCACCCCATCCTCCTGCCCTGCTGCTGCTGTGGGGTGTCTCTGGCAGCCCGAGCCCCACGGCCTGGAGGGTACAGGCGCCTCCCTCTGCACCCCTCAGGGTGGGGAGCCAGGCTGGGGGGTGCTCAGACCTGCTGGAGGGCCAGCTGCTGGGGCCCCTGCATGTCCAGCTGCTCCCTGCCACCTGGCTGGCGCTCTCCCGGGTGGCTTCTCTGGGGGCTCCCTGCCCACCGGCTGCACTGTGGGGCTGGGGGGACGCAGTAGCTGCCCTCCTTTATCGCAGGTGGAGCACAATGGCCCACCCCAGGCCTGCACCCCAGCTCTGCTCCCTGCGGGGAGCTGTTCTGGGCATGGCTGGGGTCTCCCCAGTCCCTGGGCTCTCCCCCCTGCATGGCGGCAGCTCCTCACTCTCCATCCAGCCGTGACACCCACAGATGTCTCCAAACATGGTCAGCCATCCCCTGGTCTAATTGAAGGGGTGTCCCTCACCAGGTGGGGTGCCGTGCACTTGCACGGGGCCCACAGGACAACGTGTGAGCCAAGCACATGGGCGTGAGTGTGTGTGAGTGTGAGCTGCTGGCGGCCACAGCTCTCCTGACTAGAAACACTCTGTGACCCTCAGTGACCAGCCCCTGTGGCTACCGTTCCCAGGCATCTTGTTCAGCATTCAGAACATAAAACACACTCCTTTCTGGAACAGAAAGTAGAACTTGGCTAGATTAACAATAAATGACCGGGGCGCTCAGCCTCCAGGCACCGTCCCCGGAGTGGCCAAGGCCAAGCGGCCGTGCTCCCCAGCTGTGCTCCCCAGCTGTGCCCAGCGACTCCAGGTTCCCAAGGACAAGTGGCGGAAGTGCTTCACTTCAGTGTGGGATGCAGGTTATTCTGTCCATTAACTAATATTTGATGGACCTGCCATAGGACCCAGCGACCCCACTCCTAGGACACAGAAACACGGATCTGAAGGAAACCTGCACCCAGATGTTCACTGTGGCACCATCAACAAGAGCCCAGTTATGGAAACTTCTCAAACTTCTCAACTTCTCAAACTTCTCAAATGAGTTAAGGAGCCCCCAAACAGATGAACGGATCAAAATGTGGACGCTATACACCATGGAATACTACTCAGCCATCAAAAAGATAAGCTCATGCCACTCACAGCATCATAGATGGAGCTAGAAGGGATGGTGCTCAGTGAGATACATCAGAAGGAAAAACATAAACATTGGATGGTTACATTTACAGGTGGAATGTAGGGAAACTACACATGAATAGAGGATCAGGAAAAACCACAAAACTTGAAGGCACCATAGGTCTGAGGCACACACGCAGTGGAGAGGGAGGGGTCAACAAAGGGGAGGGAAGGTCACAAGGGACTACGCTGACACTGATGGTTCACGGGTGCTGTGGTGGGTGAAGGGGAAAGTCAGATAGTCTCCAAAAATAAACAATGATGTAAGAAAATTAAAAAAAAAAAACAAATACAGTAGAGGGGCTCGATAGCATTAATAGCCAGTGATGGGAAGAACCTAAGAAATTGGCTGCAAAATAGAGAGAAAACAAAACAGCATAGAGAGGAAAGACTTTGAAAAAACGCGCAGGTGAGGGTGTCCGCAGCGTCGCCGGAGCCTCATCTAGTTCAGGTCACTCTGTCCTCATCCTCGGCGCGGCTCAGGCCGGGACAGCGACGACAGCTGCGGCCCAACTTCTACCGCCGACAGGAGCAGCGGCCTCGCGTGGCGGGGCCTGGTGTCCGCGGGTCGGTGCGGGGAGCCCGGGGAGAGCTGCTCTGCCGGTTCCGAGGACGAGCCCAGACCCGCGTCCTGCCGAGAGGCGACGGGGACACAGCGGCCCGCGAGCTCCGAGGCGCCCGGATCCAGTCTCAGGAATCCGGCCGAGGTCCACGAGCCGCAGCGGCCAGGGAGGGGGGAAGAGGACAGGCCGGGCTCAAGCCCCGGGACCCCCGGGAGCGCCCCGGCTTTGGGCAGCGCCTGCGAACCCCTCCGCAAGGCCCCCCTCCAGGGCTGCGGGGAGAGGACACCCCGACCTGCCCTCAGGCTCCTGGGTGCTGGGCACTTGCTGTCCGGTCTCCGCCCCCTCGCGTGTCTCCCTCGGAAGGACCTGCCGGGACGACGCGCCTGAGCCCCGGGGGTCTCTGCCCCCCCCTTTCGGCGCTTCCCGCGCGGAGTGACGAGCAGACCCGCCGCGGGGACTCCCCGGGAAGCACCTGCCCGCACCGGCGGCCTCTGCGCGGGAGTCTCCGGCTCGCCAGGGAGGGTCCGCGGGAACGTGGACGGGGAGACCCAGCAGGCTGCACCTCCGTGCACCCCTCTACCTGCGAGGGGGAGAATGCGCCCCCCCATGCCGCTGTGGCCCAAGATTCGGTGCAGGACAGGCCCTCGAGAACAAGCCGGGCCAAGACAACTGACCCCGCCCCCAGAAAGCAGGAGCGGAGTCTCCCCCCGCCCAGGGCCGCCGCGAGGGAGAGGGGGGCGCGCACAGGGGGCCCGACCAGGCCTCGCCCGCCAGGGCCGGCGCCTCCTCATGATTCCCCGCGAGGCAGCATTTCCCCGCCTCACCACCAGGCGGCGCGCGCTCCCCGCGCCTGTGCTTTGCCCCCGGGGCTTCTCCTTCCTCGGCCCAAGGTCCCGCTCCGCCGGGGCGGGTGCCCCTGGCCACCCAGTCTCCGCCACTTCCATTCCGCCACCACTCCCGCGTCAGCGCGCAGTGTCGTGACGTCAACACGCAGGGGGCGGGGCAAGCCCGAGGAAGGAGAGGCTCGCGGGGGAACCAGGGACGGAGCAGCGGCGCGCGCCGCCTGGTGGCGCGGAGGGGCGGTGCGGCCGAGGCAGGACACAGGCGGGAAGAGGCGCTGGGGGCGGGGGGAGGCTCAGGGGGGACGGAGCCGCGGCCGAGGGCGGGTCAGCCGGGCCACAGCCCGGAGAGACATGGGGGGGGCGCGCAGAGGGGGCCAGGAAGCGGGAGTCTGTGACGTCACAGCCCTGAAGATGGGGAGACAGAATGACGTGGGGGCAAGAACCCGCTGATATAGGGATCCTTGCTCTTTCGGGGAAGAGAACATTTGGTGTCGCTCTTCCGCGGGGACTCTGGACTTAGCTGCCAGTATTTGGGATGTTGTATATATATTTATATATGTGTGTGTGCGTGTCTGTATTAAAAGAAACAGTAATTCAGGTTTTGAGACATGACCTAAGGAAACGCTTTCACACACACACACACACACACACACACACACACACACACACACCTTTATTTGTAAACATGCTAACCAGCATTTTCTCATACTTACAAATACTGGAAACAATCTAAGTCAAAGCTCCAGGAAACAGTGAAATATGTAGCACTATGTACGTGAGACAAACGTAGCAATGAGGCACAGTCATTCTGAATAGTTTTACATGATTTGGAAAATACCTGTGTTATAATGTTAAATGAAGGAGGAAAGACAAGCTTGTAGGCATAGCATTATTCCAGATATAAAATGAACATAATAGGATTGATTTAAATTTTCAAACCATACAAAGTTGAAATCGTGTGTTAGGTCTGCATTTACTGATGCACACTTAGGTGATGAACTGTCATGAAGGGCAAGGGAAATAATTGTGATGACAGCCACATATTCCTGCTTACTTGGGGAGGAAGATGATGATATAGTGTAGTCTTAGGATTCTTAATGGGAGTTCATTTTGTAATTCTAAATTTTCACCTGTATATTCTCTGCCCTTACACACGGGTGTCATAGTCCACAGTTCAAAATATTGGAAATTATGAGGAAGAAAGTAAGCTAATTCTTCAAATTATCTATTTTAAAAAGATTATTTATTTTTATGCAAACAAGAACTGGGGTCTAGGGCAGAGGTGCAGGAGGTGAGAGGATTCACCAGAGACAGAGTGGGGAGCAGAACAGAAGGATCCACTGAAACCCACTGCTGAGGGGAGCTGCGGGGAAACAGGAGGGGTCTGCTGTGCCATGTGAGTCAACTTCCCGCCTGGGGATCAAACTCAGGCCACAGTGCTGGAAATAGCTTGACAGTGTTGAGACTTTCACTCCTGCACCACTAGGGAGACCCTAAAAGTATTTATCTTTTGAGGAAAAATCACAGTTCACTGTTCCTCATTGTATTTTATTCTAATGTTCAAATATTCTACAATGTAAAACTCCCTTTCAGTTTCAGGACCAGTCAACCAAAGCAAATTTACAAACTGGTGCAATCATTGGTGCAATTACCCCCCTACTCCTTGGCAGGTGAAAAGTAACCATAGAATTTTTGTAAAGAAAGCCTTAAAAATTCTGTTGCAGTTACAGAAAACTTTCTAAGGGTGAACATATGGCCTTCCTGATAGTAAAGCAGGGGTGGGAAGAGGAGCCGCATATCAGCTAATGTCAAGATCACCTTGTTTTTTTGTTTGTTTTTTTACTGAGGGAGGTATCATAAGGTATAAATATTAACCCAATTATGGAAGGTTCGAGCAATCTAAGGTGGGGTCAGAAAAGATGATCAGCCACA